AAGATCTAGCAAGTAAAGATATAAATTTTGGCTACCTATGTATTCAAATGATATACACTTCATAATGTTCTCAATTAGTAAATATGCAATATTATGCTTTATTATTTGAGTTATTCAAAATTTTCATATTCATATAGATGAAAGAACTTTAATTATTCAGTTATTAAAGAATTTTGAGAGTAAAAAGTGCTAATTAGTGAATTCGACACATGATTTGCATAAGAACTGTTATGCAAGCCTTGGACGTTGAGTGTTAGGCGTGTTTAGGCGCATAGTTGGGCGCTTCAGGGCGTAAGCCTCACAGAACTAAGCCCCGCACATAAGCATCAAGGCGTTTAGATAGTGCCCTGCCCCCGGCAGTGGCAGACACGGGATTTTCATCAAGCGGTTCAACACGTGAAGAAGCAAATTGTAAAAAAAACTCAACAAAATAAATTGTTATTAATATTAAAAATTAAAAGATATTATTAAAACTAATCTCTTTGAGGAAATTTATGATTTCGGGATTAATAAGGACTTTTTTCGAGGTATGCTCTTCTAATGTCGCCAAGCTCGCTTGGATGATAGTCTCTAATAGTAATGGATAATCTTTCTTTCGGATAAGTCGTTGAGAAATTCAGATCTACTCTTTGCCTTTATTTTTTAGAATAATGGAGTTATTATTTTAATTGGTTCAAGATTTCTTACACGAGAGGAGCAATTTCAGAGAATGAACTTGATTGTGACAACTTAGAAGATACTGGAGAATAAAATTTCTTTATTAATTTCAAAATTTGATTATCAAACTAAAAACACAGATTAGAACATTAATTTAATAAATATATTTAAAATTAAAGCATCACAAACAAGAATTGAAACTAAACTCAAATGTAACTAACATCGTGATACTTTCCTTGTAACCAAATTAAAACTTAGATTAATTGGGCAAAAGCAATTTAAATCGCTAAGAATAATATGTAAACACAAATTGATGGGAAATTGAAAAAAAAAAAGTAAACGGAATAGAATTCTAATGGTTCAACATAAACTAATTAACTAAAAAGGCAGTAATAAAAATTTAATCACAAGCTAATTAAGAAAAAGAAATAAAACGATTTAGTTATCTTTCTCTAATTATTGTATCTAAATAGGATAAGAGTAGTTTTACACATTATGTTGCTGTTGAGTTTTGAACTCGTGACCCTTTAAAAAATTTTGACCCCACTTCACCGGCGGGCTGAATACTAACTTTGAAGCAAAGTCAAAATTTATTTTAGCCCAGAATATCTTCAGAGAAATAAGGCCTTCTCTCGTTGTGGTTGCTCGTTTCGGACTAAAATTTTCAATTCTTCAACTTTTCCAAAAAATATAAATCAATTCCGATTTAGTTTTTGTCGAAACTCGTATAAAAAATGCATATTAGTTGTTTTACATGTGTTCTATGTTGTTTTGTGTTTTCTTTTGCGATTAAACTGGTATGTTATTTTTATGCGGACTTAGATATTAGTGTGCTAAAAAAATATGTTTCAATTGAGAAATCATTATTATTTGCTTAAAAAAATGTTAATAAGTTATTTTTTACTGTTGTATATGTATTTTAGTGAATATTTTGTGATTAAACGTATTTGTTATTTTTATCTGGTTTATATTATTTATTTGCTTAAAGACTAGTAATATAGTGCTCTTTTAGGATAGTAAAATGTAATGCCTTTTAGCATAGTAAAATGTAGTGTCTTTTAGCGTAGTAAAATGTAGTGCCTTTTAGCATAGTAAAATGTAGTGCCTTTTAGCGTAGTTTCCCTGTAGTTTAAGTATCTCTTATACTCAAAAATACGTCAAAATAACTGATAGATCAAACACAAACTCTGTCCAATATATAATTGGTGATACTGGGCTGCAAATATCGAGCCTGGAACCCATATTTGAATATTTAATAATTAAATATAATTATTTAATTTACAAACAAACATATAAAATTATAAAACTAACATGTAAAATAATAAAACTAACACATAGAAGAATTCAAGATATATTGGTACTACTAGGCCTCAAATATCGAGCATGGAACCCTTATGTGAATACATAATAATTAAATATTATATAATTATAAAAGTAATTATTTAATTTACAAACAAACATATAAAATTATAATAAAACTAATACATACAATAATTCAGGATATCTTGGTGCTACTGAGCCGCAAATATCGAGCCTGGAACCCATATGTTAATATTTAATAATTGAATATTGTATAGTTATAAAAATTAATTATTTAATTTACAAACAAACATATAAAATTATAAAACTAACATGTAAAATAATATGTCTTTCTTTTGGTAATAGTACACCCATATTCCTGGTGGACGGATGTAATACACTCTTTGATCTTGTACCTTATGGACGCTTCAATGTGTGGAATCAGTTGAAGAGAAATCAAGTCAACATCCAAGTCGAAGTGATTCCCATTGAATGTGTCCATTTCACAATTGTGGGTGCCAATATATTTACCCACTTTCCACAACCTTGTTTCCTTCTTGCTCGCACGCATCATCTAATGACAACCCGTAAACCATCTACGGCAAACAACCTTGTATACATTCGGACTTGACTCCGATACCATCATCTCACGACACTCTCTTACGCTGTACATTTTCGCAGCCCTAGTTAGGCGAGCTTTATCAGGAAAAAGCATGCCCTTTGCCAGCACCATTGGTCTAGACTCATCCCACATTGCTGTCCGAATTTCGTCAAGATCCCTTGTGAGGGCATCCACATCCGGCATACTTGGCAAATGATCAAGCTAGGGAATATGCCTTGAATGAAACGACACGTGGGACTCGTACACTCTTGGTCTAACGGGAGGTGGAGCATGCTCCCTCGTCAAATCATGTTCGACATTCTCTTCCTCCTCATCATCACCCTCGTCAGGGAAGGGTGTGTCATCTCCAGACTCATCGGTATTGTTGTCATAACCACTATTATCTTCCTGACTCTGCGCATCTGCCAAATTCCAAGTAAATACGTCGTCTACGGGCAACTGAGTGAGGACAGGACCATCAAGTTGCTCGTTTTCACTGCACAAACAACAAAATAATAAGCTACTCAAATCGATAAATACTTTACATATAGCTATATCATTTCACTTACAAGTCGTAATGTGTTGCCATTCCATGATGGACATTATCCTATTGGTGATGACTCCCGGATGGATCACCGTGATCCAACACACCAAAACTACGCATATTCCAACTCGGCGTGGGTTCATAACTAGTAAAATTCATATATGGACGGTACCCCCCGTGGAATATATGAGTGTTAATACAAATTCAATACAACAAAAATAAACATCGTAACACAGAGGAAAATTGAAGTTTACCAGTCGTCGTGTAGATTATGTAAAGTAGGAGAGAAATTATTTTCTCGCTCCTCGTTCGCCCGTGGAGATAAGTTTAGATCCGGCCAAACTCTTTCAGCCGGAACCTGTTTGGTTAAAACTGCTCCAGAATAACCACCCGATGATTGAGGGTTATCCCTGCTTTGCGCAACCTCATTATTGCGAACATCTTCAACCTTCACGTACATTTCCAACTTTTTTATCAAAATAAGTTCTCGGTATTCATCCGGAATCCCCAAAAAAATCTCTCAGAGTTTCATCATCCTCGATGTTAAACTCAGCGTAACAAGCAACCCATTGCGAAGTCACAGAATACGAAAATCTTCCGGTTATTTTAAGATTCAAACGTTTGCTCAACCTCATTTTATTACATAATAACGATACCAGTCTATCGTACTCCATTGTAAGTGGTAACTTAACATGACTCTGTGGAGATAAACTATAGCTCACTGAGTTATTCGCCACTACAACCTCACCCTCGCAATATAATGAAACCCTTACTTTTCGCTCTTCAGACATTATGAAAAAAAGCTTGAGAATTTAACAAGAAGAAAAATTTATCAGGAGTTGAGAATATTTCTGAATGAATTTTTGCAAAACCCTAAACGCCTTTAAATAAGACAATGCCCAATTCGGGNTAAATAAGGCAATGCCCAACGGGGGGGGGGGGGTCAAATTTTTGGAAGTAAAACGCCCTTTTAAAACACGTTTTACATATTTGAACTGTTGTTATGTCAGTTAAGCGCAGAAGAGTTATTGGTGGGCCCACAAAACAGGTAAAACATATTTACAAAAGGCGTTTTATATAAAACGTCTTTTGAAAAAGCGTTTTACCTTAACGTCCCAAACGGCCGTTAAAGTAAAACATGGTTCAAAACTACGTTTTATATACTTTGGTCACTAATTTTTTTTTCTACCTATTTACTTGTTTTGAATCCAAAAAAATAACATTTAGGTTCCGGACTCCCTGGGGCTAGCCCCAAGGGTGGGGAGAAATTCAAAAATAGCCAGATTTACCACTGGTCGTTGAAAAATAGCCAAGTTTCAAAAGTCATCGAAATTTAGCCACTTTAAATCTGAGCGAAAACACTGTTCAAAATCCGAAAAAATACGCCCGCAAATTTTACGGGAGTTCCAGCATAAGTATGCTTGAACTCCTGTAAATTTTACGGGAGTTCCAGGATAACTATGCTGGAACTCCCGCAAATTTTACGGGAGTTCAAGCATAATTATGCTGGAACTCCCGCAAATTTTACGGGAGTTCCAGCAAGTATAATTGTCCAGTATAATATACTGGAGTTTGGAGCACTGGTGCTCCAGTCTCCCGCAAATTTTACAGGAGTTAGCAAAGTATACCGGTCCAGCATAATATGCTGGAGTTCGTACACAAATGCACCAGAACTCCCGTATATTATACTGGACCGGTCCCTGTTACAGCAAAATAGTGGCTATTTTTCATTGACTTGATAAATGCTGGCTATTTTTCATTGACCAGTGTAAAAACTGGCTATACCATGATATTTTAACCCAAGGGTGAGTACCAAAAAAATCTAAAAACCCACTGATCACGACACATAATTTGAAACAGGAAGTAATTAAATTTCTTATTAGTTGTATTTTTTTTCATATAAAGAATGACTTATAACGTAAGAACGACAAAAGAAAAAGAGTGATTTGGCGCTGGACGTATTCTTGTTTCTGAGGTGCATTTTTACCGGTAAATATCTAAATTTTGGTTTTAAATCCACCTAGAACTGCGTGCCACGCTAATCAATCTTAGTTTCATCTCTTCTACTGCTTCTTCTTGTTCATTTCTTCAACAGCTGACTGCATCTTAATTTCCGTCAAAGTTCCATCATCCAAATATCAAGGTGCAGTTTTTTTTCTTCTGAATTTTCGAGGATTTTTCTTTAATTTATTCTTTAACTCAATCACTATGTTACCATTTGCTCATTAATAGTAATTTGTTAGCATTCAATGGTGTATCTTTTTCTTTTGAAATTTTTAGCTAGTTGCTTCTGAGTTGCATTCGGAGTGGATCAGATAAACAGAAAATGTATAAAAATTAATTTTTGGTTTCCTTTATGATTTGTTTCGGAAATAGAAGAGCTAAGAAAAAGGGTCAAGATTTGAACTTTGATAGTTTCTTTGTTGGGGAAGGGGATATTATGTTCCTAGAATTGGTTAATTGGGCTATTTGAATCTTTGAATGGTGAATAAAACTAAGGAATCTGTAGAATCTGGAAATTTGGCCATTAAGTATGTAAAAAGCGCAGCCTGGTGCACCAAGCTCCCGTTATGCGCGGGGTCCGGGGAAGGGCTGGACCAGAAGGGTCTATCGCCTTACCCTGCATTTCTGCAAGATACTGTTCCTACGGCTCGAACCCATGACCTCCTGGTCACATGACAACAACTTTAGCAATTACGCCAAGGCTCCCCTTCTTGGCCATTAAGTATGTGACTTTAATATATTTTGACTGTACATGTTTGATCTTCAAATCATTTGTTTTGAACTTATGCATTGAGGCTGATTTTGTGAGACTACTAGGGTAATTTTGCCCAATTGAATAGAGTATACCCTTACGTATCAATAAGGGTATCCTTAGTGTAAGAGCAAGATGAACAAAAAGATGATTTTATTAAATGATGATGAGCTGATTATATACACAAACAAGTTACAGAGTCCTTGTGAGAAAGCTCCTTCTACAGTGATAACATACGAGAAAACAAGGAGAATAAAATAACAAACTCCTCTATTGGTGGAAACAAAATAACAACCTATGCAGTAAAACAAAGTAGATACAGTAAATACAATAATGTTACATTGCAGTAACAGTAACTTCTAATACACCCCCCTCAAGCTAGATGGTGTGCAACAACACCTAGCTTGGACAAATGGCGACGGAAGGAGTTCTTTGGAAGCGGTTTGGTGAGAGTATCAGCCAACTGGTCAGAACTAGGAATGTGCTTGAAGATAAGGCACTTATCATTAACCTGTTGGCGAACATAGTGGAAGTCAACAGCTATATGCTTCATGCGGCTGTGAAGAATGTTGTTCTGACATAAGTAGGTGACACCAAGGTTGTCACAGAAAATTGTAGGTGCTGTGGGGATATGGACATGAAGTTCCTTGAAAAGATTTTTTACCCAAGTGATCTCATCAACGACACTAGCAACAGCCCGGTACTCTGCTTCAGTAGACAAGCAGGCAATGGTGCGTTGTTTTTTTGATGACCAACTAACTGGAGTAAAGCCAAGAAAAATAATATAACCTGTGGTGGAACTTCGATCAGTGAGGTTGCCGGCCCAGTCAGCATCAGAAAACACAGAGAGATTAAGATTGGTGCTTGGAGCAATTCGAAGGCCATAGTTAGCAGTGTTTTTGAGATATCGAATGAGGCGCTTAACAGCCTTCCAGTGAGCTTCAGAGGGCGCATGCATAAATTGAGACAATTTGTTCGCTGAGTAAGAAACATCAGGCCTAGTAAAAGACAAGTATTGTAGCTTGCCAATCACTTTCCTGTATTCAGTAGCATCATGAGATGGAGTACCATCATTTAGCAGCAAACTTTGAGATGAACTCATGGGTGTGGAGACACCTTTGCAATTTTCCATCAGAAGATCATGGAGAAGGTCTGAAACATACTTCGCTTGTGACAGAAAAAGGCCTTTGGCATCTCGATGAACCTCAACCCCAAGAAAGTAGGATAAAGGACCCAAATCTTTAAGGGAAAAACGGGAAGCCAATGAAGAGATAACCTGATGAACTACTGAAGAGCTGCTTCCTGTAAGAATGATGTCGTCTACATAGACCAAAAGATACACAACACCATTAGAGTCATGGCGAACAAAGAGAGACGGATCCGAGTGAGACTTAATAAATCCCATGTAAAAGAGATATGATGTCAGTTCATTGTACCAAGCGCGAGGCGCTTGCTTGAGACCATAAATGGCCTTACGCAAACGACAAACATGTGATGGATGGGCTGCATTTTCAAATCCAGGTGGTTGTTTCATAAAGACCTCTTCTTCAAGAGTGCCTTGTAAAAAGGCATTATTGACGTCCAACTGATGTAAGACCCAATTGTGCTGAACTGCAAGGGAAAGAACAATACGAATAGTTGTGGGCTTGACAACCGGACTGAATGTGCAGTGATAGTCAAGCCCGGGACGCTAAGTAAACCCCTTGGCAACCAAGCGAGCTTTGTACCTATCAACCGAACCGTCAGCCTTCCTTTTGATCCTGTAAATCCACTTACAATCAACAACATTCTTGTTAGAATCTTGAGGAACCAATTCCCACGTTTGATTCCGAACTAAAGCATCAAATTCAGCTTTCATAGCTGACCTCCACACAGGGTGCTTTTGAGGTTGCTTAAAGGTATGAGGCGTAACACTGTCGGGAAGTTTAACAAGGTAATTGAATGGTTTCTTTGGGCAGAAAATATTATTTTGTGATCGGGTCATTGGACGGGGTGGAGGAGGTGGTGGGGGTGGAGGAATAGGAGTATGTAGAGGTGGTGAATTAGAAGGCAAGTTCGAGGGTTGTGCAGGAGAAACTATACAAGCAGGTGGCAGGTTTTGGGTTTTGTTTCGGCGATGGTAGGTGATAAGGTTGGGGGCTAGAATATTTGAAGGGATAAGAGATTGAGATTGTTGCAAAGAAGCAGGGGAATGAGAAGGCAGAGAAAGAGAATTACCTGAATTCGTGGAATATGCATGATTCTGGCCGGAGGAGGTAGACTCACAAGTTTGACCACTGGTACATACGTCTTGAACTTGTACAAGAGATGGAAGTGCAGAAATATCAGGAGAAGGAGTTTGAATTTGAGATTGGGTAGGAGTGTCAGTAGCAATTTCCCACGTGAGATTAGAAAACTTATCTTTTATACGAGAAAATATTGTTTGAAAGGGAAAAATATTTTCAAAGAATTTTACATCTCGTGAGATATAAGTTTTAGAATGAACGGGATCAAAACATTAGTGTGCATAATGAGCCTGCGAAAAACCTAAATAGACACATGGAGTTGACCTAGGCTCGAGTTATGTGTGGTGTAAGGCTTAAGCCATGGGTAACATAGACAACCAAAGGTTCTAATTGAGTCGTACTTAGGTGCAACACCAAATAATTTTTCAAATGGTGATTTATGCTCTAGAAGCGGTGTGGGTAGTCGATTGATTAAATAGGTTGCGTGTTGGCAGGCAAACGACCAAAAAATTGAAGGTAAGGATGCCTCATGTAAGAGTGTTTTGGCAGTTTCAACAATGTGCCTATGACGACGCTCGGCTATGGCCACTCTTTGCGGTGTATAAGGAGGTGATACAAGGTGTTCAATTCCATTTTTTGGAGATACGGGTCAAGACCTTTGTATTCACCTCCCCATCAGTATAAAGAAAAATAATTTTTTTTTTGAAAAAGTTTTCGATTAAGGCATGAAATTTGGGAAAAATGTCGCGAACCTCATGTTTGTTTTTAATCGTGTACAACCAAATATATTTGGTGTACTGATCAATGAAAACACAGTAATATTGTTTTTATCAATAGAAAGAACAGGTTATGGACCCCACAAATCAGTATAAATTATTTGTAGCGAAGAAGTACTGTTTAGAGACAAATAACTGAATGGAAATCGTTGAACTTTATTTGAACAACAAGAATTACATAAAGTAAACTTGTCTGTTGAGGAGTACAGTGCGATAACAAGCAATTTGTGATCAATAAAAAGTACCACCGGATTCGGTACCCATCAGTCTTGGATCATCACCTTAGACAGTTTCATTTGGTTATGAAAGAAAGGCTTTATCCCTGGTGAGGAACATTACGAAACCGCCCAAAGAGTTAAGCAAACTTTACAACGTTACAAAGAACTTCAGGACGTGGGTTCAATGCGAAAATTGTTATGGATTAAGTTATAAGAAATTTTTGAAATAAAAAATTTAATATCCAATATTCGTCTTTTTGGGGTTAATGTTCTCAATGGTGAATCGATCATTCGATATCCTTTTCCTTCTGCGACGGAATGGAAGAAAAGTAATGAAACCTGCGATGGCTACTGAATAACCTCCTTTTACTTTCTCAATAATAAAGCCTTTGACCTTTGTATTCGTTCGCCAAATCTTGTGCAATTCGTTGGTTATTAGCGGCATCCCGAAAACGTCCGGGTCGAAATATGGCTTTCAAATTAAGTTCCGAATTAGTGGATGCTACCAAAGGGAGTGGCGATGCCATACGCAAAAAAGAAGAGACTCATAGAATGGCAGTGCAAGAGAAATCATACAAAAATGATCGAATCTTCGGACGCCCCGAAAAAGATATGAGGTGCTCGGAAATGGTCGAAGTAGTTGAATAGGAGGATCACTATGACTATAGCCCTTGGTAAGTTTACCAAAGACGAAAATGATTTATCTGATATTATGGATGACTGGTTACGGAGGGACCGTTTCGTTTTTGTAGGCTGGTCCGGACACCCCTGAGAGAAATAAATGAATTCCAAAGATCTTTGGCAAATCCAAAGAGGGTTTTCCTGTACGTATAATGATAAATAAATAAAGGAATTTTGGATTGGGTCAGGAATCCAATGGAACTTGGGTGTGGGTCTTTTGTCGAAATGGAATGGCTTTTCTTTTTCTCTTTTTATTTATTATTTATCGTGAATGGGGGAATCATTACACATAGTATGCCCGATCAGCGTATTTTTTTGTTTTACGCCCCGTAACTCTTCCTCAGCAGATCAAATTATTTCGTGGATTGGATTTCACTTGACTGTCTATGGTTCCATTGCGTGTGCTCGGGGTAGAAGTTTTGTATAAATGTATCGCCATGCTATTAAGTAATAGTGAAACTGGCAGAGAAAATTTATTCAAAACAAAGTTCAAAATTCTTGAATGGGGATGACCAAGACGACGATGCCAAACACGACGAGGAACTGTTGTAATAGTGACTTGAACAGTAGGCTTGTTAACAGTGAAGTTCGGCCATTCGTAGAGTCCATTCCTATTCCGGCCGGATACCAGCGGAGTTCGCGTTTTCAAGTCCTTCACAAAGAAAGAAAAAGGGAAAAATTCAATCGAAGTTAAATTATCTTCACAAAATTTTGACACAGAAACAATATTTTGTTTGATAGCAGGTGCACACAAAGTGTCAGTTAGTTTAAAAGCTTTACTTGATGCAATTAATTCAGTAGAACCATGATGAGTAATTGGAATTTTTTACCATCTCCCATAGCTATGCCTTCCGAACCATTATATTCTTCAAGATTGGTAGGCTCTGTGGTGACATGATGAGTAGCACCAGAGTCGAGAATCCATTGGTTGGCTGCTGCTTGTGTACCTGAAAGAAAATTTGCCTTTGCCTCTAAATGATTATGAGACTGTGAACTGCAAACATTTGCAGTGTGACCTTGTCTGTTGCATAACTGACAACGAACATGGGTATTGGTGGAATTGTTGTTTGTGTAACGCCCTTGAGCAGGAGCATTACCACGATTGTTGTAACGCCATTGTGAGTTGTTGTTGGGTCGATGAACAGTGCGGTTGCTGGAATTGGTGGATTTGTTGCGAGTTACCAAAGCAGCAGTAATCGAAGTGGTTTCCTTCTTCAATTCCTCATGTTTGAGAAAGAGCTCATGATCAATTAGTTTGGCATACAACTCCTTGTAAGAGACAATGGAATCTCTTGCTCGGATTGCAGCGGAAATCTCACGAAAATCTGGCCCTAGACCACTCAGAATTTTCACAATCAACTCATCGTTGGAGATTGAAGCACCGACAGTGGCAAGCTCGTTGCAGAGAGAGCGCACTTCATGAAGATAATCGGCGACTGGACGAGAGTCCTTGGATAATCGTGCGAGCTGATCGCGAAGGCTAAAGACTCGCGCTTGGGACTTATTGGCATAAGCCATGTGAAGGGAGTCCCAGGCAAGTTTAGCAGTAGAGGCAGCAGCCACAGTTGTGGCTATCGTCGGATCGACAGAAGCCATTAGGGCATTCTGGATCAACTGATCTTGACGGAACCAAATGCTTTAGTTTGGATTCTCCACTTGTCTATCATTTTGTGTGATAGTTGTCGGAGGAGTGGGAAAGGAACCGTCAAGATGACCGAACAGATTGTGCCCACGCATGAGCATGGAAATCTCGGCTTTCCATGTCGCAAAGTTATGGCTGCCAACAAGCTTTATCGGCAGTTGCGATATGGGATTGAACCGAACAATAACACTAGAATTGCTGCTAGTGGAGTCAGCATTTGTTACATTAGGGGCCATTTCAAGTGTGAGCCTGTGGTGGTAGTCAGAGGATCGAAAGAAAAAACTCGTGAGAGTCAAGGAGACTGCTTTGATACCATGTAAGAGCAAGATGAACAAAAAGATGATTTTATTAAATGATGATGAGCTGATTATATACACAAACAAGTTACAGAGTCCTTGTGAGAAATCTCCTACTATAGTGATAACAAACCAGAAAACAAGGAGAATAAAATAACAAACTCCTCTATTGGTGGAAACAAAATAACAACCAATGCAGTAAAACAAAGTAGATACAGTAAATACAATAATGTTACAATGCAGTAACAGTAACTTCTAATACTTAGTTAGTCCTGCTTTGACTCGTTTGTCAAGGAATTACTCCCTCCGTTTCAATTTATGTGACATAGTTTGACCCGACATGTAGTTTAAGAAGAAAGGAAGACCTTTGAAACTTGTTGCCTTAAACCTGCCATAATGTTTGTGTGGCTTTAAAACTTATGACACTTATATTCTTAAACATGTCATAACATTTGCGTGGCTAAAAAGCTTCTCATTAGCGGTAAAATGAAAAGTTTTAGTTTGATCGTTTACAAATATAGAAATGTGTCATTCTTTTTTAAATGAATTAATAAGGAAATAGTGTCACATAAACTGAAGTGACGGAGTATATTACAAAGGACAAAGTGAACTAGGCAAAGAGCTCCTTTTATTTTTATGAGTGTTTGGTTTTGTATGTATGTAGTTCTCCTATGAGCCATTTGATTGAGGACTAACATTGATCACGATGCAGCGAAAATGCAGAAAGAGGCAAAAAGCTCCTATTTTGATATGCCAGCATTGGATGTTTCTGTTGCATTTCCTCAAGCAACTCCAGCCTCCAACTTTCCTACATGCAGTAAGATCGAAACCTGATTCTATTTATATACTTACTCTGGTTATCATTTATTCACTTGAATATACAAAGTCTCCACTCTTTTCAAGAATGTAATAAATTGCTTGATGTGCTTATTTGTATGCCTTTGATTGACGTCATTCAACATTTGGCCAGTTGTACTTCTACTAGTTTTTTATGGGTGTGCTATTTCTGAAAACAATTTATGTGACAGAGGAAAAAACTTTGTTTTTCTATCTTTGCCTCCTTATTCTGGAGGGTCATTGTGCTGACTGTGATGTGAACTTTACAGCTTCAGACTATTATAAGTTTGACGATCTGTTAACTCCTGAGGAGCAAGCCATCAGAATGAAAGTGAGGGAATGCATGGAGAAAGAGGTTGCTCCTATAATGACGAAGGTATTTCCTTTGTTTTCTGTATTTGTTGGATGTGCTAATATCCTTTTGGATTCCATTATTACAGTAATTGCTAATGTTGTGGGTAGAAAACAAAGATATATCCTTAATGCTTCAAGTCTCACATCTTCTGAGCAAATCTTGTACTGCTATAGATGCACTTAGAAATGAACCCCTTTTTAATGTTTCTGAACAGTACTGGGAGAAGGCAGAGTTTCCTTTTGAAGTCATTCCGAAGCTTGGCGCTTTGCACATTGCTGGCGGCACTATCAAGGTGTTTTAGAGCTTGACAAAAATCTATATTTTTGACTTTGAGCGTCCATGAGGAATGTACTTACTTGTGGCTTCAGGGGTATGGTTGTCCAGGTTTCTCAATAACTGGTAGTGCCGTTGCTGCTGCAGAAGTTGCCAGAGTTGATGCAAGCTGCTCTACCTTCATTTTGGTGCATTCATCTTTAGCAATGCTCACCATTGGTAAAGTCTTGTTATTGTTATAAATTGCTGCTGTGTCTCCTTTTGCTTTGTAGACACATTGTTTGTCGTAGAGGTATAGCTCTATTTGCCAGAGAGTGGTATTAGTCGACTTATCTTTTGGCGGGAGATATTTTGTATTTTATAGAATGAGATCATTCCATTACTACTAACTCAAGAAATAGACATCTCTCTCATATACGGTTTATGTCGATATGAAGTGAACTAATTACACCTTGTTGGTCTGTCAAGAATAGGTCTATGTGGGTCCGAAATGCAAAAGCAGAAGTACTTGCCGTCATTGGCGGAACTTAACACTATAGCTTGTTGGGTAAGAAATTTTTGTTTTGGTCATTTCTTTAGCATTTGTATCTGCGCTTATCAAGCATAACTTTGTAATCTCTGTCTCTTTGAGCTTAGGGGTTAACTGAGCCTGACAATGGAAGTGATGCAAGTGCTTTGGGGACAACTGCTAGAAAGGTCTAGATTCTGCATTTTAACTTCAATATTCAATTCTGATGCTGCTCTGAATTGATTTCTTTTTTACTTTAGGGAAAGGTTATTAAATATTCTTTTGCAAAAGCTGTTATCTTCCTAATTCTAAATGATAGGTTGAAGGAGGTTGGGTACTTGAAGGGCAAAAGCGTTGGATAGGAAATGCAACTTTTGCTGATATACTGGTTATTTTTGCTAGAAATACATCCACAAACCAGATAAACGGGTAAGTACTAACATACTGTTTCTATATAATCCTATTTTAGCACTAATATTCACCAGTTTCACTGGTAAGTTAGGATCATACGAAATATCTCGTGGAATATGACTCTACATCATAGTTATGTGAATAATATGACTTTTGCTATGGATTTCTCTCCGTCCCTTCACATGAACGTAGACCTTCCCTCTCATCCTCCTTCTTGACCATCTTAGTTTGTTTCTCACTATTGGTTTTTGCCTTTGTCTCAGTTTCATAGTAAAGAAGGATGCTCCAGGATTGCAAGCTACTAAAATCGAAAACAAAATTGGACTACGGATGGTTCAAAATGGAGACATTCTCTTAAAGAAAGTTTTTGTCCCTGATGAGGATAGACTACCTGGTGTCAATTCTTTCCAGGATACAAACAAGGTACATAATATCGTTGGGGTGCTCTATTTGCTGTTGATAATCAATCATACATGCCAAAAGACGTTGTACACGCCACAAATAGCGCACTCAGATTTGTAGCTAATTCGCTTCGAGCAAAAGACAATTTTTTTGGAGGTGTTACATTGTCTCACAAGCTTTGGTCTATCTAATGAACTTATCTACATATTCATTATGTGCATAGATTTTCATCTTCAATATATGTCGGACCTGACAACCTAGCCTTTCTCACGTCCACCCAAATTGCTTTTCTCCACTCTCCAATCTTGCTCACATCTTGTTTCCCTTTTGTTTTGATGCGTTTTAGTCTACTATAATTGTTTCTTTTAATTTCATTGGTGATTGATTAAAGTAGTAGCTGGGTTATTGTTTCACTCTCTCTCTCTCTTCCCTTGAACAGGTGCTTGCTGTATCACGTGTCATGGTTGCTTGGCAGCCTATTGGCATTACAATGGGTGTTTATGATATGTGTCACAGGTAATTCTAGAGAAGCTCATCAGTTTTTGTTTTATCATAAAATGGAAGGTGTTGTGACATGCTTCGGTGGACTTTGACCTAATTAATATTTAGTAAGGTAAAGCTGAGTTTTGAGACTGGTATTTTGTGTTGTGCCGTGGTAGAAAAATAAGTACTCAGCCTTCCTCAATCCAAGATTCCTTTGATCGACTCCTTTCTCCAGACAATTGCATATTGTAGTCTCACAGTATAACAGATGATTTGTCGTGTAACTGTACTGATATTCATTGTTCTTTAGATGAGACAGTCTTATCAAAGTGTGTGACCATCTAAAAGCTTATGATGATAGAGAAACACAGTTTTAATTACTTAATTATATCTTCAACACGCCCCCTTACGTGCGGGTTTGATTTTTTTCATGAGTCAAGCACGTGGAAATTCTTTTTGATAATGATAGAGGTGAGACACGAACCTAGGACCTTTGCTTCGATACCATGTCAAAGTGTGAGACCGTTCATCTAAAAGCTTAAGCTGATAGAGAGAGAACATTTTCAATTACTTAAATATGTCTTCAACAAGTCTAATAACGTGGAAGTTCTTAGACTAACCAATGAGAATGACGTGAGACCCTCTCCGAAAGTAAATAGATGTTAGTTCGTATGAGCTCTTTAACCATATGGCTCACCGTAAGAACTTGTATGAGCTTTCCATTATCCCCTCTCCTTTGTCAATGTTATTCTAGAGTTCCCTTTTTCAGCCTTTTGTGTTGGCTAAATTTTCTGTGAAACTCCAAGGTACTTGAAGGAGAGGAAGCAGTTTGGAGCTCCATTGGCTGCTTTCCAGATCAACCAACAGAAATTGGTTCAGATGTTGGGCAACATTCAGGCAATGATTCTTGTCGGCTGGCGGCTTTGCAAGTTATATGAGAGTGGTAAAATGACTCCTGGCCATGCAAGCTTGGGGAAAGTAAGACCTCTTTCTTCACATTATTAAATGTTTGATACATGCCCTTTTGGACTGAGTAACAAATTGTTTGCTTCAGTCATGGATTACCTTGAGGGCGAGAGAGACAGTTTCTCTTGGACGGGAATTACTAGGTGGCAACGGAATCTTGGCTGACTTTTTAGTCGCAAAGGTTTGTGAACAATAATATCCAATGCTCCCTGCCCTGTTAGATACAAATCATGGAACATTTAGCGCTATGAAATTTCACTCGTAAATCATGTAGCGATCTCATTTTATGCATACAGCTTATTTTACTATAATCTCATGTTTTTCTATATTCGCGTGTAGGCATTTTGTGATTTGGAGCCCATCTATACATATGAAGGTACTTACGACATCAACACGTTGGTAACAGGTAGAGAAATTACTGGTCTTGCCAGTTTCAAGGCTGCTCCATTAAGGCAAAAGAGTCGCCTGTGACAATCTTACTTCCATCTGAAGTAGTATTCTGTTGGATTACCCTCTGTTTTGGCAATCGTAACTTTGGGATAATTCTAAGTTCTATATCTGTCCAAATAAAGAAGTAATTAAGAAGGTAAATCCCCTGGAGATTTTTAAACCATTAATAATGACAAAGAAGTTAGAATACCACATATTGTAATAATATCAACATAGCAAATGATTCAGCTTTGTTTTATTCAAGAAAATCTGATGTTGGAAATTAGCTGCTAATCTTTCTCTCTTGGCATACATCCAGTCTGTTGCTTTGCTTTTATAAGGTTTACTAGTAATTGTGACATATGTCAATGTCTTTTAGATCTGAGAATATGGAAATGAACGACTTTGTGGAAGTGGATCTGAAGTCAATAGGGGCGAGAGTACTTTGGTGGTGAAAATGACACCAGGTAGCCACTTTTAAGTGTGTTGTTTAAAACATGTCCACAGTTTATAATGTATTTAAAGATTAACCAATTTCGTTCAAACTTCAGGACACAGCGTCCTAGAGTTTAAAACTCAAAATTCAATCTTCAGGACATTGTGCCCTAAAGTTCGAAAATTGTGTCCTGAAGTTCGAATCTTATATCTTGAATTTTAAATTAGTAGTTCAGAAATTCAGGACACTTAGTCTTGAATTTCAAATTAGCAGTGTCCTGAAGTTTGGGTAAATTGGCTAATCTTTAAATACATTGTAAATTGTGGATATATTTTAAATAACATGCTTAAAAGTGGCTATTGCTGCACTTCGCCCTACTTTGGTGGGCAGAGATCGGAGCTAGGATTTTGAGTTTATGGGTTCTGAATTTTAGGAAAAGCAGCTTTTTGGATTTTGAATCAATTCTATATACAATACATTTTGATAATAAAAATTGAATAGTACTAGGTATGTGTTAAAGCTACTAGATTTTGCTGAACGGTAAGCAACACTTTAGCTCTGTCCCTGTAGGTGAGAGGAAGTACATTTGAAATGTTGGTGTCGATATATACTCCAAGCTTCTAAATTCTGGCAACTCCACTTGATTTTATGTGAGGAAAGGAAGTCTTGGCTGAAAGCTTTCATAGCTTTAGTGTAGTCGTAAGAGCATAAGATGTTGGGGCGTTAGATGCATGTCATGGGTTCGAATCCTAGGACGCCGGTCATCAGGATTTTTCGGTTTTAAGGAAAAAGGTCTTGGATGAAGTGACTTCGTTTCATAACATTTTCCCTGAACTACAACAATAAACTCAGTGTAATCCTACAAAATGGGGTCTGGAGAGGATAGATTGTACGTAGAACTTGACATTTTCCCTGAACTATCTACGAATAATTCATGAAGTAGTAAAACCATCTGAAAAAAGTAGTAACATATACAATTGACTTAATTTAATATTCCGAATTCTGAGTGAAAGCGTGAATACTTCGTGCACCGAGCTGTCCGATCTAACCACTTGTCTAGAAAGTTTATAATTTAATATGATACCGTTATCATGAAATATAGCACATTTCAGGGAAGGGTTCGTTTAGCCGAGTTGAAGTCTGTTCGACCAAATCTATGGGATCTACTTATTTTGAAACAAATTCTTCCCCGAATGAAAATAATTCTGAACGGGTGTAATATTTTTTGTTTGATCAAACATTTAATAAACACTTTTGTTGATAGTTTAGCAGCAGTTTGCGTTTTTGTCCTTTTTAGTGCAAATTATTTTTATAAAACTACTACAATTAGCATTATTTGAATAGATAATAAATCATGATTTGGATTTCAATTCAATTTAATGAATGTGTCAAAATTAAATTTTAGTATATGGGGAGGGAGCAAGTTTTATGGGACTTTGGTAATAAAATGTGTTGATTACAAAGCATGAGGTTAGTTTGTCTTAAAAAAGAAAACTAAAATCGCTCCCGGTTCTACTTCTAAGAAAAAGTCGCATAGCATATACTATACATGTATATAATGTATATGTATAGAATATATAGAAACACTATCCCTCAAACTATTATTACTCCTATTATTTTGTTCAAAACGGCTGCTTCCTTTTTCCTCGTGTATCACAGTCACACCAAAACTAACATACGTGGACCATAGATAAAAGATGGACCGGGTAAAAGAACAATTTTCTTATTCATATGGAGAGAAAAAATAAAAAAGACCCAACATATAAGGGATAAAGAAGTCCAAAAGTTCGTAGGGAATTCAAACTGAGCACGGATTTTTACCACAAACCGACAAAGGAAAGCAAAACAAAAAACTCATGTCCATCGTCTTATAAATCAACGGTGGTGGTGCATGTATTAATTAAAGTTGTCGAGGGAGGTGCATGATCAGAAGGCATTAAAACATCTCTTGGATCAGCATGTTCATACTGATTTTCAGGTTGCTGGTATCTCAAAGCTCATTTTATAAGGTCGAAATTCGGTATGCTCGATTTTACGGGTTCGAAGAGTCGCCTTAAGTCTGAGTTCAGGATGGATCAAGCTCAAACCCGATGGACCGAGCTCGAGCCCGATGACAGAGTACGAGGCTCGAGGATCGAAGTATGCGATGAGCACTGCAACCGAGTATGGCCGACTCCGAGATGATGCCGTTATTGGTTTGTAACAGAAAGAGTGAGATTCCCGCCACATCCCCAAGATCATGGCGTAAATTCCGGAATTGATTTATACGAGTTAGTACGAATCCGTACTAGGCGGCTAGACAGTTGTCCCAATAAGATTCCTTACTGTAAATAGAAATGTACCTTATTTAGGGTTCCCCTACTATATAAAGGGGACCCCAATCATTTGTAACCATCATCAATCATTGGCAAAATGATATACTCTCTTACTTTCTTGCTCTTTACTCATCAGAATTGTCTCTTAACTTTATTGTCTTATTTTACTGTTTTTGTTGACCAACCTCGAGGGCATTACAGCTCGAGGTCAAGATTGGCTTTAACACTGGTTTGATTCAACTTACTTCTTTCATTTATACGTTAGATTTCTTGGTTATTAATTAGTATTGAACTAAATCACGTATCTTTAAAACCACAAACAAGTTTAATTGTTACTCGTATTTTCGAGGAAACAGTTTGGCGCCTACCGCGAGGCTAAAGATAATAGTGGTTATTTCAGTATCGATTCTGATAACACACGTTATTTTCACACTTGTTCTTGTCAAGAATTTTTGTTCTCAGGTTAAAACATGACAAACTCATAAAACACACCCGTACACAGCTGTCACGACCCCGGTTCGCCCTCCATGAACCATCGTGATGACACCTAGTCCCTACGACTAGGTATGCCTAATAATGCGGAAAAATAAACCAATTTGCGGAAGAAAAACAGATAAAACCCGAAATAGTGAATAAAGAATGTTTAATAGTGCCGCTCGGCATACACAATATCAACTCTCAACACTAATACTTTTCCCAAAATCCGGAATCTCATGATCACAAGCTAAGGATACTACATAGTGCTCTAACTCTAGAATGTCTAAAACAAAGTAACTACAGAAGGGCTGTAACTACAAGAGAGAATGGAGAGTGACTCCTCGGTCTGCGGACGCGGCAGATATACCTCGAAGTCTCCGAAAGATCGTCTCGCCTCAAGGATGGTAAGTCTGAGTAGTGGTACCTGGATCTACACATGAAAAACATGCGCAGGAAGGGCATGAGTACACCACAACGGTACTCAGTAAGTGCCAAGCCTAACATCGGTCGGGTAGTGACGAGGAAGGTCAGGGACCTACTAAGATTAAATAAATATAAAGTCCGACAGTGTAGAACAGAGCAGTATAAATGAGTACAGCAGTAAGAGTAACACAGGTTATAAAGGATAACGACAACTGAAACAGAAACAAGTAATCACGGTAAGCAAATACAGCTCAACACAGAGGTGACAACCGGGGGATCTCCCAGGATACCGTCCTGTAGTCCCCAAATATAAATATCCAGTGGATCTCCCTGGTGCAGTCCCGTAGTCCAACTCATAAATGCACGGGGATCTACCGGAATACCACATCCGTAGTCCCAAATATAAATACTCAATACTGGGGGAATCTACCGGGTGCAATCCCGTAGTTTCAATGTAAAAGTGCAGGGGAATCTCCCGGAATACAATTCCGTAGTCCCAAAGTAAACATACAGGGGGATCTCCCGGGATACCGTCCCGTAGTCCCAAAGTAAATACACAACAGCAACAAGAAGAATACTCAATTCAATCAAATTTCACACCAAGGTAAAGCAGGTATTTCTAACCTAGCATGTTGCACATAATTCAAATAGGGCAGTAGAACAAATAAGCAGTTAAATCAATTAAGCATGCTTCCCTAAGCTAACAACAAGCTTAACTTGCAAGTAGTGTAAACATGAAAGGAAAACACAATTCTAAGTACTTAATGGAAACCAGATTTTCAACAATTAGCACAAGTACGCACTCGTCACCTTACGTATAAGGCATTTCAAATAATAAATATACCAAATCCTAAGGGGAAGGTCCCCCACATAAGGTTAGGCAAGCCACTTACCTCGAACCAGCTCAAAATCAATCCGAAACCACGTTCTTGCCACGAGTATTCGACTCCAAATGGCCCAAATCTATTCAATTCAATTGCATAATGTAAATAATACTTCAAGTAACTAATTCTACAAATAAATTCTAAGCTAATGCGCGAAATTAGGTGAAATGACCAAAATGCCCCTCGGGCCCACATCTCCGAATCGGGTAAAATTTATATTTTCAGAATCCTCATACTCTCACGAGTTCATACATACCAAAATTATCCAAATCCAAGGTCAAATTCCCCATCAAAATTCGAATTCTAGGTCTAAGATCTTTCTTCCCATTTTTCTCAATTTTCGTCTCCAAATCCAAATTTAAATGACAAAACTAAGATAAGATTAATGGAATATAACTAGAAAGGAACAAGGAATCGTTACCCAATGATCTTCTCTTCAAAAACTTTACAAAATCGCCCTACCCCGAGCTCCAAATTTGATTTTTTTCCAAGTTTTGAACAAAACCCTCGATTTTGCCCCTTTTCCGCCCAGCTAATTCGCTTCTGCGGCTCTGGGACTGCATCTGCGGTCCCGCTTTTGCGAAAACAATGTCGCATCTGCGATAATTCACTAAAGGCTCTGGGCCGCATCTACGCTTCTACTACCGCACCTGCGGTCTCGCAGGTGCGCCCATACCACTGGAAATTGGCTTCCAAGCACTTCGCCGCATCTGCGTCTCCCCAAGCGCTTCTGCGATCACGCACTTGCGGTCCCCAATC